GCGGGAGGATGTGGAAATTTATTCGGTCCTAAAAGTTCCAGAGGGCAGGTACGCCATACAAAGATCCCATCAGGCCGTTTATGGAATGGCTGAGTTGGGCGGCCCTTAACCCCACTCAAAACACACACACACACCCGGGTTGGCGAAGGTGGTTGGAAGGTACTTCTTAATTGATAGATTTACCCTTCAGGGAAGAAGTAGGTAGTTTACACTGTTAGTATACTAATATTAGGATTATTGAGGCAACTGTAGATGATAATAATGTAGACCTAAGACCTTAACGTAGATAGTAAATAGGTTATGTTAGCCAGGGAGAACTGGCAGCCCAAGTTCGAATGCTGGGGCACGGGGTTTTGAGACCGCCGTGCTTTCTTCTAAGACTAGACACCATCGGAACAGCAAGTGCCATGATCAGCAGGTGGTGCCCCCATGTGTCTTCACATACTAGACCTGAGGAAATCTGGCGAAGGCACCTCGACGTACCGTAGATGTTCTCCTCCCTCAGGCCCATACAGTAAGACAAGACCTCCCTTTTTCTCGGGATTCTGGCCAGTTTCTCGGGGAAATTCCGAGTCAGTTGAGCTGTGGGGCCTTTGTGCAGCTGGCAGTTCATGACCAGTATGTACCCGCGTCTCTTGTCAGCCTAGAAGCTAGTGTCACTCTCTGCGTAGTTAGTCTAGAGGATACACACCCCCTTGGAAACAGGAATTTCTGAGGTGCAGGCAGGTCACTAATATCGACTGAATATTGCAGGAATTAAGGCTCCCGGTTGCACATGGTTCTGAGGGGAAGTCCACAGGGACTAAAGCTTAGGGAGGTTGAAGACCGGGACAAATTCTCCAACACCAAGTAAGTTAGTCCTTCATACATGCATGCAGACAAGATTTCTTGCAACCTTAGTCATTCATGAAAATCTGTCCTATAAGCCACTTGTGAGGCTGAGGTTCCGACCTCAGGGCTCCGTGTCAACAGAGCTTGCCAAGGTAGGCAACTCACATGGAGGCAGTCCAGAACAGACAAATTTTCACACAGGTCATATGGTCATTAGATGAGTTACTGTGCATTCAAGAGAATGGAGTATTATACTAGGTAATGTAATTAAAAAAAAACGTAGTTTGATAGTGTCACAGGTTATACATTTATTCAGTATTTATTTAGTTGTGGTTGAGTAAGTGGTTTTTAAGAAGAGTCTTGAACTGATAAACAGACAGTATTTCTTTTCTATTCACAGATTTTTGGGCCTTTTATGCGAATTGAGTTTTTACAGTGTGAGATGGACCCGGGAAACATCAAAAAGTGATCTGTGCCTTGTGTTATGGTCATGTGTTCTGTTGAGGTTGGTAAGGAGAAGTTTGAGGGGAGGGTTTATATATAAGTTTAGTGTTCTATGTATGTAGTAGGTACAACAATAAGTATGGATGTCTTGTACAGTGAGTAAGTTTAGAGTTTTGAATATTGGTGGAGTATGCTGCCTGGAGTGGGAATTTGTTATCATTCCGACTGCAGCCTTTTGTTGGATAATTAATGGTCTGAGATGATTTATTGTTGTTGAGCCCCATGCACAAATTCCATAGGTGAGATAGGGTAAATGAGTGAGTGATATAGGGCCAGGAGGGCTGACTGTGGAACATAGTACCGTATCTTCGATAGCATGCCTACGGTCTTGGATATTTTCTTGGAAATTTGTTGTACATGTGTTTGAAATTTGAGTCTATTATCAAGGTGGATTCTAGGAATTTTCCCTCTGTGAGCTTTGTGATAGGTGATCCGTTTATCATTATGTTAAGAAGAACATCTGTAGTTCTGTTCCAAAACTGAATGTAGTAGGTTTTGTCAATATTGAGAGTAAGTTTGTTAATTATCATCCCGGTAGATATTTTCTGTAATTCGGTATTTTCAGCATTTATAGTATTTATAGTACAATACAAATACAAATACAAATTTTTATTTCCTTGCAAGATTACATTGAGATTATGTAATAACAATAATGAGTTGCAGTGCAAAGAGAGCCATTATCATGCCATAGCATTATGGGCAGACTAAATCTAATGGCTTACAGACTACTTAACAGTAGAGAAATTGATCATAGTTTTTTTTCAAATTGTACATCTGCTTTTATTTATAGTAGACAGTAAGTTTACTTAAATTACAATCTGTGGATATTACATTGGGACAAGTTGAGAGTATTTTGTAGGTTTTGCATATCAATAGTAAATATTTAAATTATATTATGGTAATATAACATTGTGAGTTATTGAAAGTAGTTCACAGTATGGGAATGTTACAATTGAGTGTAAGACAGTATTGTTTTGGGTAGGCATTTATACTACAATGTAGTATTAAGTATTGTATGAACTTTGGTCATCTAGTTTTGAAATTTGTAGATTTAGGTAATTGGGAGATTTTTTTGAGTATTGAGTATTTAGTTTAGGGTGAGTAGGTGGCTTCTGAGAAGAGTCTTAAATTAATGTTCAGACCGGGTTACTTTAGTATCTATTGGTAATGAATTCCAAATTTTGGGGCCCTTTATGTGTATAAAGTTTTTACACAGTGTGAAGTGGACACGGGGTACATCAAAAAGTGATCTGTGTCTTGTGTTATGGTCGTGTGTCCTGTTAAGGTTGGTGAGAAGTTTGAGTGGAGGGTTTATGTTTGAGTGTAGTGTTCTATATATGTAGTAGGAACAAGAATAAGTATGGATGTTCTTCACGGTGAGCAGTTTTAGACTTCTGAATATTGGTGGAGTATGCTGTCGGGAGTGGGAATTTGTTATTCTCACTGCAGCCTTTTGATGAGTTATTAGTGGTGTTAGGTGATTTAATGTTGTTGATCCCCATGCACAAATTCCATATGTGAGATAAGGGTAGATGAGTGAGTGATACAGTGCAAGGAGAGCTGACTGTGGAACATAGGAACGTATCTTTGATAGTATGCCTACTGTCTTAGAAATTTTCTTGGAAATATGTGTCTGGAATTTGAGGCTACTGTTAAGGTGGATTCCTAGGAATTTTCCCTCTGAGTCTTGTGATGGGTGATCCGTTTAGCGTTATGTTAGGTGGAACATTTGTAGCTCTGTTTCTAAACTGAATGAAATAAATTTTGTCAGTTTTGAGGGTAAGTTTATTAGTCATCATCTAGGCAGATGTTTTCTGCAATTCAGCATTAACAGTGTTGGCCAGTATGTCTGGGTTTGGTGAGAGAAGACGTATGTAGTGTCATCAGTAAATAATATACAAAAATTCAATGTACATGAAAGGACCTAAAATCTGGAACACCCTACCTGAAAACTCTAGAACTGCAAAGAGAACCATCACTTTCAAAACTACCGTTAGAAAACATCGTATCTCCCTGACACACCCCACCGTCAGCTAACTACATGAAAACCACCTATTGTCTTGTATCATACACACATAAAAAAAACCTAGACCTCCCCTCGATATCTGTGATTCCCCACAGTTCACACTTACACTCACCCAATTGACGATAAACACTGAAATACGTAATAAAACTATTACCTAATGTATCTAGAACTAGTCATAAGTTTGCCTGTGATACTCCAATGTAAGAGCTTCAATAGAAACTGTATCGTACCAAGACAAAACCATTCACATTGCTAAATTTACGAACTGTAATGCAGTTACATAGACTTAATATCAACATGCTCCATAAACTGTACCAATATAGAGTATTGAATTAATTTTAGCTTGCCCGAAATGCCTAGTCATGCTAGGTGTGATATTGGTCCTCTCTTTAATTAGTATTTTATAATATGTAAACCACACGATATCCTATAAAATGTAAACCCCGCATTGTAATCTGTATAGAGGATAAACTTGACTGATTGATTGATTGAATATGAGTTTGAGTTGTGATGCACTCGGTAGGTCAGACTTTGTGATGCACTCGGTAGGTCAGACTTTGTGATGCGCTCGGTAGGTCAGACTTCGGACAAGATTTAGCGTCATCGAGAAAGTCTCTTCAATGATGATTTACTTTTATTTTAATTCTTTTAAATGTCTTCACATATCAAATTGGATTCCTTCCATGTTTAGTAAAAAGGCAAATGACTGCCGATATATTAAGAGAATTAGTTAGATTAAAACTCGTCAAAAAAGAACCATTGTTTCCTGACACGGGTTTTAGTTATACAATGCACACCACTGGAGCCTTTTGTCATCTGACCGAGGTTCCAATGGCATAACCGTCCACCTCTTGGAAATTTACTATTGTTAAGGGAATTGAACACCAATGCATTCACTTCACTCAGAACACCAGTACTGAATGAGTTTCGGTCACTGAACTTTGACCACTTGAAATATATAAGGTGTATACTTCCCTGTGGCTGTATAACAATGTTTATATGATGGAGAAGAGGCTGACCAGGAAAGTCTTGCCCATATGAATTTATGAACATAAAATACTCCTGCAGCTGGGATGACACGAAGAACGCCTGTGATGTACACAGGAACATCTCATGCATCAGCAAGACGCTAAATTGGTATATCAGTAACGACGAAGAGGCCTTGAAGGTTCACTCATTGTCACCATCGAACACAATGTTGGCAGTTATAATATTTCAACTTCATTAACCTATATCAAGCTAGAATATATTTCTACGAGACTCATGTGACAAAGCCATAAAATAAACCCTTCACCACCTCCGTTGTCCTTCACCGATTACTATTACTACTACTACTACCAGTTACTGTTATATAACAGTAACAGGAGCTGAGTCTTGACCCCTGCAACCACAACAGGTGAGTACGTTCACCTGTCCCATATATAGCCTGTCTTCTTTCATACTTCTCATATATTTGAAATGATCGATGATCAGGGGCAGAAATGCCTTAGACAAATGTGTTTCAGACTGAATGTTTTTCTGTCCATTTCCTTCACTTGTTTGTTTAGGTCTAAATAGAATAATCATATGTACTGCCCATTAAATTGTAAGATTTTAAAATAAGCCGATATATAACACTTAGGGACAATATATACCCCAATCGAGTATATATATATATTTTTTTTATATGTGCACTGAGAGTAACAGTGCATGTACACGTGGAGGTGGAGGTGTCTCAGGATATATACACTTAATCTTTATAAATGTTCATGGTGCCGACAAGTTCTTGAAAAAAAAATACAAACACTAGGAATTTATTTTTAGTAGCGTTATCGTTCTTGGATCTTGGCCACCACAAAGGTACAGTTTCCAACACTTAAACAGTCTTACCTAGTATTATACAGTCTTAGTGAAGGTTCAGGAGAGGATTCCCATATTCAACTACAGTATTCTAATGAACGTTCAGGTCACAGTTAAAATAAACTGGGTTTAAAGAAGACTTTAAAACCTCCAGAGGAAATAAGTCTCACTGTTTTTTTAGCAGGTAACCCGATTTATTAATCCTTCTGGTGTTATTTATTCGAAAGCAGCCAGTCATTTGCAGGTGTTGTGGCTGACCTTCTGATAAATGAAAAGTCTAGATATGATGTCATATTTCAGGCTAAATAATTTGCATAATCAACTTATGAGAATAACAAGTCGATTACAAGTCAATTATGTTATGGGTCCAGATTAATTTTAATATTAACGAAAATTTATTTAATAGATAACTTTGATTTGACGTTTTTCCTGTAATATACAAGTGTAAGGAATGTGGAAACTCGACAAGAAGTTACCACCATAACATTTAACATAACAGCAACTCAGGTAACGTTTAAGAGAGGTGGTGTACCTGTTTGTGGAGGGGTCAGACTCAGACATAAGGTCCGGCAGGTACCTGGCCACACGCTCACCCGTCTCAACCTCTCCTCCACACTCGCACCTGCAACACCAAAATCGGAAATAATAATTAATGAAGAGCAAAAATCAATAATAATAATAATAATAATAATAATAATAATAATAATATTATTATTATTATATATTATATGTATTATTATTATTATTATTATTATTATTATTATTATTTTATTATATATATTATTATTATTATTTTATATATAGTAGTATAGAGTTGTGTATGAGTGAGTAAGTAGTAGTAGTACGTAGTTAGTAGTAGGTATATATAGTTAGTGTAGTAGTTAACAGTATAGAGTTGTGGATGAGTAACAAACTCCGAGTAGTATAGAGGCTAAAAGTTGTGTAGTTTAAAAATAGGTTAGATAAATAATGAGTGGTGTGTGGTGTGAGTTGGACTGCTATGCTTGTGCTTCTGCTAGTGGCATGCTCTTCTTAAGTGGGTGACCTACTCACTGGGCTAAACGGGGGGGGGGGCACATGGACCTGCTCTGCATGGGTCAGTAGGCCTGTTACAGTGTTCCTTCTTTCTTACGTTCTTATGTTCTTATGTATTGTTGTTGTTGTTATTGTTGTTGTTGTTATTATTAACCAGTATTGCTCTTATTATTATTACTATAATAATAATAATAATAATAATAATAATAATAATAATAATAATAATAATAATATTATTATTATTATTATTATTATTATTATTATTATTATTATTATTATTATTATTATTGCTATTATTATTTTACTTTATTACCATATGAGGAAAAAAAATGGTTATAAATGACCATAATTTTTAAAGGGGTGGACCGGTAAGCCAGCGGAAGGCCTCGGTCAGATGACCAAAAGCTCCAAAGGCGGGTCATCATCTGACTAAGATCCGCGTCAGGAAACATTTGTCCTGTTTCCTGACGAATCTTACCTAACCTAACCTAACCATATGAGGAAAAGCTAAAGTGGTCTGAGTGATAGAGAATGTGTTGGATGGAAGGCAAGCAGATTTGATCTTAAGAAATGGGAGAACCTTCACCAACTTCAAGGAAGAAGAGGATCCTACACTAGCATCAAGGAAGGAGAGGATCCTACACTAGCATCAAGGAAGGAGAGGATCCTACACTAGCATCAAGGAAGGAGAGGATCCTACACTAGCATCAAGGAAGGAGAGGATCCTACACTAGCATCAAGGAAGGAGAGGATCCTACACTAGCATCAAGGAAGGAGAGGATCCTACACTAGCATCAAGGAAGGAGAGGATCCTACACTAGCATCAAGGAAGGAGAGGATCCTACACCAACATGAAAGAAGAAGGAGAGGATCCTACACCAACATGAAAGAAGAAGCGAGTCCTACACCTATACCAAGAAAGAAGAGAGTCCTTCACCATCAAGGAAGAGAACCTTCACCAACATCAAGAAAGAAGAGAGTCCAACACAACATCAAGGAAGAAGAGAGTCCAACACAACATCAAGAAAGAAGAGAGTCCAACACAACATCAAGGAAGAAGAGAGTCCAACACAACATCAAGGAAGAAGAGAGTCCAACACAACATCAAGGAAGAAGAGAGTCCAACACAACATCAAGAAAGAAGAGAGTCCAACACAACATCAAGGAAGAAGAGAGTCCAACACAACATCAAGAAAGAAGAGAGTCCAACACAACATCAAGAAAGAAGAGAGTCCAACACAACATCAAGGAAGAAGAGAGTCCAACACAACATCAAGGAAGAAGAGAGTCCAACACAACATCAAGGAAGAAGAGAGTCCAACACAACATCAAGGAAGAAGAGAGTCCAACACAACATCAAGGAAGAAGAGAGTCCAACACAACATCAAGGAAGAAGAGAGTCCAACACAACATCAAGGAAGAAGAGAGTCCAACACAACATCAAGGAAGAAGAGAGTCCAACACAACATCAAGGAAGAAGAGAGTCCAACACAACATCAAGGAAGAAGAGAGTCCAACACAACATCAAGAAAGAAGAGAGTCCAACACAACATCAAGGAAGAAGAGAGTCCAACACAACATCAAGGAAGAAGAGAGTCCAACACAACATCAAGGAAGAAGAGAGTCCAACACAACATCAAGGAAGAAGAGAGTCTAACACAACATCAAGGAAGAAGAGAGTCCAACACAACATCAAGGAAGAAGAGAGTCCAACACAACATCAAGGAAGAAGAGAGTCCAACACAACATCAAGAAAGAAGAGAGTCCAACACAACATCAAGGAAGAAGAGAGTCCAACACAACATCAAGGAAGAAGAGAGTCCAACACAACATCAAGGAAGAAGAGAGTCCAACACAACATCAAGGAAGAAGAGAGTCCAACACAACATCAAGAAAGAAGAGAGTCCAACACAACATCAAGGAAGAAGAGAGTCCAACACAACATCAAGGAAGAAGAGAGTCCAACACAACATCAAGGAAAAAGAGAGTCCAACACAACATCAAGGAAGAAGAGAGTCCAACACAACATCAAGGAAGAAGAGAGTCCAACACAACATCAAGAAAGAAGAGAGTCCAACACAACATCAAGGAAGAAGAGAGTCCAACACAACATCAAGGAAGAAGAGAGTCCAACACAACATCAAGGAAGAAGAGAGTCCAACACAACATCAAGGAAGAAGAGAGTCGAACACAACATCAAGGAAGAAGAGAGTCCAACACAACATCAAGGAAGAAGAGAGTCCAACACAACATCAAGGAAGAAGAGAGTCCAACACAACATCAAGAAAGAAGAGAGTCCAACACAACATCAAGGAAGAAGAGAGTCCAACACAACATCAAGGAAGAAGAGAGTCCAACACAACATCAAGGAAGAAGAGAGTCCTACACATCATCAAGGAAGAAGAGAGTCCAACATATCAAGGAAGAGAACCTTCACCAACATCAAGGAGAAGAGCACTTCACCAACATCAAGGAAGAGGAGATCCTTTCACCAACATTAAGGAACAGGAGAGCCCTTCACCAACATTAAGGAACAGGAGAGCCCTTCACCAACATCAAGGAACAGGAGATCCCTTCACCAACATCAAGGAACAGGAGAGCCCTTCACCAACATCAAGGAACAGGAGAGCCCTTCACCAACATCAAGGAAGACTGAACCCTTCACCAACATTAAGGAGGACGCGATTCCTTTATCATTTTCAAGGGAGAGCAGCCAATATCTAGGAATACGAGAGTTCTTCATCAACATCAAGGAACACGAGAGTTCTTCATCAACATCAAGGAACACGAGAGTTCTTCATCAACATCAAGGAACACGAGAGTTCTTCATCAACAACAAGGAACACGAGAGTTCTTCATCAACATCAAGGAACACGAGAGTTCTTCATCAACATCAAGGAACACGAGAGTTCTTCATCAACATCAAGGAACACGAGAGTTCTTCATCAACATCAAGGAACACGAGAGTTCTTCATCAACAACAAGGAACACGAGAGTTCTTCATCAACATCAAGGAACACGAGAGTTCTTCATCAACATCAAGGAACACGAGAGTTCTTCATCAACATCAAGGAACACGAGAGTTCTTCATCAACATCAAGGAACACGAGAGTTCTTCATCAACATCAAGGAACACGAGAGTTCTTCATCAACATCAAGGAAGAGGAAAACTGTCATCTACTGTTCATATTATGGTATTACCGCTGAAGGTTTGAAGTGAATCAGATTTAGTGTTTACAAGTAATCACACGGACACTAACATCCAAATTTGTCTAATAAAAATGACATATTAGGACACATACAGTCTTAAAGCAAATAAAACCTTCCATTAAGAAATACCAACTTCGAAACCAAACTAAAATGAAATTCATTTGTTATCTCAGAGGGGCCAATATCCTGAAATACTCCAGTGCAATATGGTCCGGTCAGAAATTATTTTTATTTATTATCACACCGGCCGATTCCCACCAAGGCAGGGTGGCCCGAAAAAGAAAAACTTTCACCATCATTCACTCCATCACTGTCTTGCCAGAAGGGTGCTTTACACTACAGTTTTTAAACTGCAACATTAACACCCCTCCTTCAGAGTGCAGGCACTGTACTTCCCATCTCCAGGACTCAAGTCCGGCCTGCCGGTTTCCCTGAATCCCTTCATAAATGTTACTTTGCTCACACTCCAACAGCACGTCAAGTATTAAAAACCATTTGTCTCCATTCACTCCTATCAAACACGCTCACGCATGCCTGCTGGAAGTCCAAGCCCCTCGCACACAAAACCTCCTTTAAACCCCCCTCCCTCCAACCCTTCCTAGGCCGACCCCTACCCCGCCTTCCTTCCACTACAGACTGATACACTCTTGAAGTCATTCTGTTTCGCTCCATTCTCTCTACATGTCCGAACCACCTCAACAACCCTTCCTCAGCCCTCTGGACAACAGTTTTGGTAATCCCGCACCTCCTCCTAACTTCCAAACTACGAATTCTCTGCATTATATTCACACCACACATTGCCCTCAGACATGACATCTCCACTGCCTCCAGCCTTCTCCTCGCTGCAACATTCATCACCCACGCTTCACACCCATATAAGAGCGTTGGTAAAACTATACTCTCATACATTCCCCTCTTTGCCTCCAAGGACAAAGTTCTTTGTCTCCACAGACTCCTAAGTGCACCACTCACTCTTTTTCCCTCATCAATTCTATGATTCACCTCATCTTTCATAGACCCATCCGCTGACACGTCCACTCCCAAATATCTGAATACGTTCACCTCCTCCATACTTTTCTCCCTCCAATCTGATATTCAATCTTTCATCACCTAATCTTTTTGTTATCCTCATAACCTTACTCTTTCCTTTTATTTCCACCTTTAATTTTTCATTCTTTTGCACACCCTACCAAATTCAATCCACCAATCTCTGCAACTTCTCTTCAGAATCTCCCAAAGCACAGTGTCATCAGCAAAGAGCAGCTGTGACAACTCCCACTTTGTGTGTTGATTCTTTATCTTTTAACTCCACGCCTCTTGCCAAGACCCTCGCATTTACTTTCTCTTACAACCCCATCTATAAATATAATTAAACAA